ATAACACATGTACATTGAGTGAATATTCTAATACTAAAATGTATCCATACCATATCCAATCCTAACTAAAATTATGAATGGATTAGGTCTACAATTGAAATGAATTTATTCTTCCGTGTGTAAGCATTCAATTATCAATTAATTAATAATTAACAAAACCTTTAAGCTATTGGAATCTATCAACACATCTCTTTTCTAGAATTAAATCCTTTTTTTATTACTGAATTAGTACATTATCAATTCTCTCTTCTGGTTATCTTTACTTTTCCCTTACATGTACAACTTATTTATTTCTTTAACTATCAATCAGTGATTACAACTTGGAAAACAACATATTCTATCCATAGCATTAGTTCTTATTATAGGCCCCAGTATCTTATTTAGTGAGGAATGATGCCTGATGATGAATGGTACATAAAACAATAAAAAGGGTGAAGTGCACAAATGGTCCCTCGATGATGGGGTGATGCTTTGTTGAATATCCTGACTATTAAAAGTTACAAAATGGTTCCCCAACTATATGGTGTTACTTTGTTGAGTCCCTTGACTATTAAAAGTTACAAAATGGTCACCTAACTATTCATGTGTTCCAAACTCGTCCTTTTCCGTTAAAAAAATTGACTCTAGTGTGAGCTGGACATTAAGATATTAACTTTAGTATGATGAAATTTGATCCTAGAATCTCAAAAGACTATCATATCACATTCAGCATATTAACGTCCAGCTTAGACGACTATCAATTTTTTAACGGAAAAGGACAAGTTTGAAACATATGAGTAATCGTGTGGTCATTTTTTAACTTTTAATAGTCAAGGGAGTCAACAAAGCAGTCTCCTATAGTTAGAGGGTCATTTTGTAATTTTTAATAGTTGAGAAACTCAACAAAGCAACATTTTATAATCGGGAAACCATTTGTGTACTGTACCATAATAAAAATCGCTACCATCTATTAACGTTTATTGGTTGAGTTGTAAGGACTTGAATATCTTTGAAGTAAAATTTTTATTTTTCAATCTTTTGAATGAAAAAACCACACCTAGAGAACTTTGTACCTTACTTAGTAAGATAATCTGGTAGACTTCGAATATAATCAGAGTTTGTATAATTTCAGAGTATAGAAGAACCTGGAATTATTCTTATTTTTATTTAGTAAAGTTCAAGATTTCACATGATTTTGGTGGTAAGGTTGAGGCATTAATAATGTTGGAGTTCCACTTTATGCAATTTACATGTCGAGTTTAATTTTTTATTTATTTTGATTTAACTTTAAATATATTTTGATTATCAATTTATTTATTTGTGTTTTATAATAATTAAGTGAATTTACAGTAATTTAAATTTTGTTTATAGGTTATATTTATTAGTTCAGATTGTTGTTATATTGTGGTTGTAAACTTTTAAAAGAAAATATTGTACAAAGTGAAAATTGAAAGTCATGTTGATTTTCATTTTAACAAGAATTGCTGGGTGTAGTTGGTAGTAGGATCATCATTTTATCTGAATTTAACGAATTTTGGTTCGATTAGTCTTTATAAGATCAAAGATTTTTTTAAAAATAAATTTGGATTGAGTCAGATCGGATTCAGATTTATGATAAAAAATACATAACTTAACTCGAGATAATTGATATAATTTTCTCTTTATATTTCATATAACAATATATTTTTTTATATATTTGTGTTGGGTATGATATAGATTTCTATCTCAAAATTTGAGTCAAATTTTAGGTTGTGTATAACCTCTTTGAATTCGTGTAAGATCAAGTTTTAAATAGAGAGAATTAGTAATTAGATCGCATTGATTTTAAATTTAACTCATAATCATCCCTAATTATGAGACACACCATACGGAGAATCTTACTTAAACATTAAAAATGATATTACAGTGAAAGACAATCACAAACATAAATTATGAAACAAACCTGAAAAATAGAAAACGATTCAAAATTTAATAATAAATAGATGCAAACAAACTAATAATTATGGTGAAGCATAAGAATATATAAACACCGTCCAAAAATTCCTTAAAAAAGAAAATAAAAACATAATTATATATCCTCCGACCAATAAACATTTGGAAGCACAAAGACATGTCCCCTACAATAAGAGACAAAACAAGGGACACTATTCCTTCACTTTGAGTTTTTATTTCTATAATATCATACTTAGCTAAAGCATGTGCATAATATAATTCCCTATAATTACACATTTATATATAGCACGTGATGGTCATGTAATCATTTTTCCTAATGTTTCTACTACTATTTTCCCCGATTCACGCATCTATCTATCTATATATTAATTGTTATATTTAGTGTTAATACAAAAACTGATCGAGAAGTGTTCATGATCATCACATTTTTTTAAATGTTAAATTTTTATATATTTTATTAATGATTTAATATGATATTTTTACCTTTTTAAAAAAAGTTCTACATATAAAACTTATCTACCGATCTCAATAGCTAAATGAATATTATTCTATCTAGAGGTTTTAAGTTTGAACAGTTACGTCTGCGAAGTATGTGTGATATTAATGGGAAAAAAATTATGAACATATATTAATTTATAATCATCCTAAACTATTAAAAAATCACTTATAACATAAAATCATATATATATATATAATAAATGTATTATTTTAATAAATTTCAATGCATTGGAAATTATAATTTAAGCATTGGATTCAACTTGATGAATATAGAGTGGCAAATAGTGATTTGAATTTCGATAAAAAAAAATTTGTGGACTGTCAAACTATGGTAGCTGTCAATGGCTTTTTGACTTGGTCCATCTCACATTTCTCATCCAATTAAAAGAGAGAAAATGTACGCAAATAGTTGGAATTGTTGATTTTGTTTCCAATTCAAAATTTTGCTCCAATCAATATGAATAAAATTTTGTATAATCTGATTTACTCATAAAAGGTCAAGAAATTTATGAAATTTAAATTAATTTGAATTTAAAATATTCAAACATAAAATTATTTGAATTTAAAATATTCAAACATAAAATTATTTGAATTTAAAAAATATTTAAATTTAAAATAACTCAATTAAAAATTTTGACTTTTAAACGTGATGCGATTGTCTGTAAATCCAAATAGTTCAAACTTAAAACAACTTCTACTCTAAATAACTCAAACCCAAAGCAATTCAAAATGAATTAAAAGTTTTGAAATCCAGGTTAATTAGTTTGACATCTACTCGACTCGAAATCAATCCAATGATCCAATTGACGAATCTAGAGGTAATATTAAAAATATAGGATAAGAAGAGTGAAGTCCCAATCCTAGGGATGATCATGTGTTAGGTCGAACTAAGTTTTTGTCAATCTAAATCCTATGAGTATAAGGCCCCTCTATCAATCACTCGATTTAAGTTTAAGAAAGCTCCACTAACTCGAAATCTAACCCGATTTTTAAGGTAAAAACTTATATTTGCACTCGTACTACTCTCATATGCGACACATATAATCTTATATATATATATATATATATTTGTTATTAGATAAAATAGAAATCTAATTTAAAAAATATAAATAGATGGATATTATAATATTTATCTTTAAATATATCAAGATAATTATATTATTATTCTTGGATCGAATCATATATTTTCACCTTAAATTTGAACATGATGTAAACCTACTTTAAAGAAAAATAATAAAAAATAACCTTATAAAATTAGATGAACCCAAAATCCATCGGGTTCGGGTCAAATGCAAATTCTAATCCAAATTTATAAAGATAAAGGTGATTAAGTTTGAAGGTAATTAATTTTGTACTAAAATATAAATATACATTAAATATTGCTTCTGATTTATTAATTGTGTATTAAATTAAAGTTGTGAGTTCCTCCCTAATTAGGACCCTCTCCCCTCACGCCGTACTCGGTTCAAGTTCAAATACCACAACCCATCAAATAAAATATTTATTTAAAAAAACATTTTCTAATAATAATACTAAAATAAAAGAAGAAGAAAACTTATGGGTGGCATTTATATTTTCTGTTAATTTTCCATCATGAGTGTCATTTCTTAATTCCATTAAATTTATAAAATAATAATTTTAATTGATAGATTTTTTGTTAATTTAATTTGTGGTGAAGCTACATAATTTCCCCAATTTCGAATTAATTATGTTTAATTTCACAAAATTAAATGATATTTCAAGCTCGTGCTCGTTTAACCGATTCAAGTGCCTTTGAAAATAGGGCAAATTAAGCGCTAATCAATAAATTAACAATCAAGTGGGAAAACTAAGTGTTCGCATATCTTGAAACTTAAATATTGCTAAAGCCGACCTAATCCTACTTACATTAAAATAAAATTGAATTTTAAGTATTTATATAACTTTTTTATTATTAATATTTCAATGATAATTTCATTAATTTTATTAGATGTATAAAAATATTTTTATCATGTTGATATGAAAAATGTTTTCATTAATATATATTTTTAGGATTGTTTGATAAATGAAGATAGACATTTGAGATTATTTCTTTGCTTTCAGTAAATATCTTATCATTTTCTACTATTAATCTTCAATCTATTTTACTCATCAAACGATCTTAAAAAAATATAAAACTAAAAACCTTTACACAGTATAAATGAATCGTGTCTCGGAAATGATCAGGATCCACTTACATATAGTGTAAATTTTTTAATTTTATATATTTATAAAACAGTTGGATGGATGAAAATAAATAATTGATATTATTTTGTTCGTCTATTTTTATTCATCAAACATTATTAAAAAGATATAAACTAAAAAAAAGAAACATAGGAAAACTAAAATAAGTCAAAGAGTCAAAGTTTAAAACGGTGTGTGTTACAAAGAATAATTAGAGTATAAGGGGGGCGTTGCTCCCTCTCCATTGTCAACCCTAGCTATCTCCTATAAAATCCCCACTTCTCTTTATTCCCACATCGAAAACAAATCCCCTCCTCTCTATTCATCTTCCTCCTGTATACATCTCCTTATCAAAAGCTTTTGTCTATTTTTCATTCAAAAAAATGGATGTCAAGGCCAGGGATTGTGTTCACCAAATTAATGAAGATGATCATACGGAGTTGAGAAGAGGGCCTTGGACGGTGGAAGAAGACTTCAAGCTCATTGAATACATTGCCACACACGGAGAAGGTCGGTGGAACTCTCTTGCTCGTTGCGCTGGTCTCAAAAGGACCGGAAAAAGTTGCCGATTGAGGTGGTTGAATTATCTCCGACCAGACGTTCGACGAGGGAACATCACTCTTGAAGAGCAGCTCTTGATTCTTGAGCTTCACTCTCGTTGGGGAAACAGGTTTTTTGACCAAAATTTTGTCCATTGATTTAAGATTTTTGTTTAGTGAGGTTGATTCTCACGGTGTACCCTTTTTTCTGTTGCAGATGGTCCAAAATCGCCCAACATTTGCCTGGAAGAACCGATAATGAGATCAAGAACTATTGGAGAACTCGTGTCCAGAAACATGCTAAGCAACTCAAGTGTGACGTGAACAGCAAGCAATTCAAGGACACCATGCGTTACCTTTGGATGCCTAGGTTAGTCGAAAGAATTCAAGCTGCCGCCGCCGCAGCCTCTGCCTCCACCACCACCGACGTCCCCGCCACATCCACCACCACCTCGACTTCCGTATTCGGCGATGACCAGCTTGGGGGAGCACAACAAGTGACCTCATCAAGTTACGCCCTAGAGAATTCGAGCACCACCGTAGCCTCATCGGACTCTTTCGGGACACAAGTTTCACAATTTTCCGATTTCTCCGATCATTACACCACCAACAACAACATCTCCATTAACTACCCTACACAAGAGTTGTCTGATAATTACTACAACCATGGCATGGATGTTCAATCCTTGGAGCAATTCAACCCTTGGCTAGACAATCTCTTCAACGCTGAGGATTTTTACTTCTTACAACAGCAACTCAATTTCAACATGTGAGAAAATATCTTCAAATACACTAATAAAAATGGAGAAAAAAAAAGAAAAATAGAATAATAATAATAATTTAGAACACACGTAGAATTAGAGTCTAATTGTGGATGAACACTTGATTAGTTTGTATTTTGTTGCTTTGGATTTTTTATTTGGGAGGGGGAGATAACTTAATTGTAATGCTTTTTTTTAATTTAATCCTATTCATTGATATTGACATTGATTTTCTCTTCGTTTCTTGTATTTATAGAATAATGTTTTAGAAAATTAGTTAAATAATGGGTAGATGTGAATAATTGGTTCCACCATATGTTTTTTTATATTATATGAGATAATTATCATAAGACTGTGCATTATGATTATAATACCTTTTTGAGAACTTATAGTTGTCCATGGGGCATGAACCATAAACTACGTCTAGAATTAGGTTATTACGAAAGGTCTAATTTAGTTTTGATCCCTATACTTTAATTTGAATCTTTTTATAGTTTCACTTGTTATTTTGAATAATTAACATGTTAAACATTACTTGATTTTTTTCTTCTTCTAAAAATGACACTTTCGCCAAAGAGTGTTGGCACAAGTGGTTAGGATTCAGGAATTTGAGCTTGTAAGTCTAATTTTGAATCCCATCATCGTCACTCTTGGTGGGCAATCTGTAAATTCTTATGTAAATCTCAACTGGGTCTTAGTATACTCTGGCCCTGGACTGGGGGAGCCAGCTCTTACCTAAACTTTATGTAACAAAAAAAACCTTTCAACACAAAAGGAGAGTACATATGTATATATGTAAAAATAAGTTAGTAGTCATTTTTATAAAATATATGAACATTTTAATCATAATATTTGAATTTATTAAGCGATTTAAGTGATAAAAGAGAGTAATATTCTAATTAGAGGTGTTGAGTTTAAGTAGTTGTATCTGCAGAATATGTAGACGTTGACAATAGTTAAAAATTATTTCAAACAAATATTACTTTATAATCACCTCAAACTATTGAAAAACAGAATAATTATCATGTTAACTATTGAATTATCTAATGATATTATAAAAATATATGGGTTAAGTAATAAGTAGGCTGAATTTAAGTATAATGATTGAAAAATACAAATTTAAGTTTAGTACAGGGAGTAAATCGTAATTTGTCCTTAAAACAAAGCTTATGGCAAAATTATTTATTAACAAATAAAATGTAGAGGCGTGGTGGAATGTGATTCAAGTGAAAAGAAATTAAAGTACAATGAAGAAGTCCATTAACTTGTTTTTTAATAGCTTGCCGTCGTACGGAAACAGTGTTTTGTTCCCTTCATCCCATTAAGCGAGCAAAAGCTTTTGCATTGGTGCGCTTTAAAGTTAAAATTCCATTCACACATTAATTACTTTCACAAATATTAAGAAACAAAAGGTTAAATGTTCAAATAAGGACAAATCTTTAGGGTTCATTTTTATGATGATATAATTTCAAAATAATCGAATAAAAGATAAACATTTTCGTAATTGCTCAAATAAGACTCCAAACTTTTAAAAAAATCAAATTAAGATATATTGTTTTCAGGTCTAGTCAAATAAGGATTTAATGTTGTATAATATGCTAGAATGGGGGCCTTTATTTGAAAACATTTTCAATAAGCTTTTTTTTAGCTGATTTGAAAATGTTAGGCCCTTATTCGACTCTCTCAAAAGGCTAGATCCTCATTTAAGTATGTGTGAAAACTTTCAGCCCTTATTCGATCGTTTTGAGAGGTTAGACCTTAATCTGAACATTAAATTTTTAAGGCTTAAAGGGTTATTTTGACATTGTAGTAAACTTAAATAAATATTTTTGCTCATACTTTTTAATTGCATCAATTTTATCCTTAACTTATTTAATTGCATTAATTCTACCCTTTGATCGACATTAACAGTTACAATATTGATTTGATAGAATGATTTTGATGTGGTGATTCATTATATTGATGTGGTGCTAGATATATGAATGACGATGTGGAGGGATTCTTAGTTGATTTTTTTGATCAAGTTTAAGGATATAATAGATTTTAATTAAAAGTTTAATGGTTTATTTAATATTTAAGAAAATATAATTTCAGAAATTATAGAAATTTAAAATATTGAAATATTCATAAAAATTCTTAAGAGTAAAAATTAAAAACATCTTAAGTTATATAATAATAAATTATCAATTTCAAAAATAAAAAAAAATTAAACACTTTCATCGAAAAATACTTCGACTATCCAACATAGTTTACTATTATTCTTTGAATATATTTTAGGTTAAATCAACCTTATATTAGAGTAATAATAAAATATATGTTCTAATTTGATTTTTACACCAAATATTAATGAACACTTATTTAGTATAAACATGTGAATAAAAAATAACATAATCAATTATATTATTTTTTAAAAAAATAATTATTTGATATTATGGTATTAGCTTGTGACATATTATCATCGTTAATTTTTTAACAGTGGGTAATTAAAATAAAACCAAAACATAATAATAAGTATCCTTTTGAAATAAAAAATAGTTGACTTACCAAAACATAACAAAAGTAACAGTTGTGATACTAAACGCATAGTTTATCCACTGCTAAAAAATTAACGATGATTTTTTACTTAAAAAAAGATTATTTTTCTTTCATATAAAAAAGGAGAAGGTGAAGCACGTGATGGAATAGTGTAGAGAACGGTGGCACGGCATTCGTGGCAGGCCGCCGGTAAAGTGGAAGAAACCACCAACGTGGTCCAATGCCTCTATCAGGTTACGACACTGAAACGTGTCTACAAATTTTCAAAGAATAAAATTAGGGGTAAAATACATTCTAGGTCACTCAATTATGTGTCTGGTAATAAATGAGTTATTTTTTAGAAAAATCACAAATAGGTCATTCACTTAAAAAATGTTACGAAAAGTGGCTAACCGTCAAGTATAAGATGGAATATTGACATGATATGGTATAATAATAGTTTTAGAATTATTGTTATTCTTTGAGGTACGGGTGCTAAAAAAACTCGAAATCGTTAATTGTAGTCGTTAATCGGTATAGCCGTTATATTTAATAGGTTAATTAACCAAACCAATAATATTAAACGGTTTCGGTTAATCGAACCGCTAAAAATTATAGTTAATAGTTAAAGTTACAGTTACGAGTTTTGATAAACGGTTAACCTTTGATAAATTAAATTTATAATTATATTTCTAATTTATTGTATTTTTACATAAATAACTTAATATAAGTTTCTATTATTTATAATTTATATATATATTTAATAAAATTCATATAAAAATAACTTAATATATATTTTTATTTTTTTTTTGAAAATATTGAAACATACTTATACCAATATAATTATATGTTTATTATTAGGTAATATGATATTGAGAGAGATGTACATACTTACATCGGTGTAAATATGTGTTAAGTGCTACAGTTTTTTATTTTATTTACTTACATCGTTTTAAGTATGTGTTAAATGCTACACTTTTTTATTTTATTCAGTTGCACTGGTGTAGTATGTGTTAAGTGCTACACTTTTTTGTTTTATTCACTTACACCAGTGTAAGTATGTGTTAAGTGTTATACTTGTTTATTTTATTCAGTTACACTAGTGTAGGTATGTGTTAAGTGCTATATTTTTTTGTAGTATAAATTATGAAAAGAAATTTGACAAATAATTGTAATAGAATAACTGTTAACATGTAACCGAACCGTTAATAACTGTTAACATGTAACCGAACCGTTAATAACTGAATCATTAGCGGTAATTGTTTCTTAATGGTTAAGTTACGATTAGAAAAATCTCATAATCGTTATAACGGTTAACCGACCGTTTAGGCTAGACAGTACTATTAACCACCCATGAACAACCCTACCTTGAGGACCCGGATACGAGTACCTTAAATATCAGGAGTGTGAGCATTTAATGTTGAAATGTTAAGAGTTTTCTTTAAACAGATACCTCAAAAAGGAAATTTGTACTTATCTCATATTAATAAGAAAAAACTTCAATTTGAAACGATTTAATAAATGTACGGAAAAAAGGCATCAGAAAGTTTTGTGCTTTTAAAAAAATTAATGTGACACTCCAACTCATAATATATTTAATGTGGTCATTTGACCAATGTTTTTCATCGTTAACTGTTACAATACTGACGTGATAATTCACGATGGTTGATGACACGACAAATAACATGACATATGAGTTAAATTATTTTTTTGTTAATTTATTTTTTATTTTTAGTATTTTATATTTAACTTTTTGAATATTTGAATAATATTATATTTATAATTTAAAATAAATTTTATTTTTAAAATAACTAAATAAACCCTTAAACTTAAAAAAACAAATTATCCCTCGAACAAAATCAAAAAATCAATTTAGCCCATCTGTCATCTCATCTACTATGTCATTAGCCATTGTGGACTGCCATGTCAGCACCGTAATAGTTAACAAAGAAAAACGTTGGTCAAAGGGCCATATTAAGTTTGGTTTTTTGAGTTGGAGTGCCACATTGATAGAAAAAATTATACAATGACTACATTGATTTTTTTAAAGTACATGAGCATCTGATACTTTTTTAACTAAATTTAATTATTTATATTTTAAAAAATTCTATCAATTTGGTCTTTATTCTTCTCTTAAATGAACTATTATTTTTCTGGAAACGTTATATTACTTGTTTTAGGATAGAATAAAATTATCATAAATTAGAAACACTCATTTAGTTTGATAGTATTATAAAAAGACTAAATTAATGAAATTTTAAATATGAAGAGTTAAATTTATTGATTTTTTTTTAAAAAAAATTGATTCATGTTGATAGAATATATAATATAAATTTTGAAAACTAAATCTATTATTATACCAACTCACGTTAGACATTTGTTTCAATTCTAAAAATCAATAACTTGTTTGTAAATTTCTTAGTTGACATATTTATAATTTTCTTAGAAAAATGATTCAAACATATAAATCATTTCATCTTTGTTTCTCATCCTCACTATAAATCTATAATTAAATTTTAGAGTAAATTATGCCAATGGTTACCCATGTTTGGGGTAGTGTTTGTTTGCATCACTAATGTTTAAAAAGTCACAAACCAGTCACCAATGTTATTGTTTGTTACAAAATGACCACTCAACATTAACAGTTGTTAGTCAACCTAACGAAAATCACAACTAGAACATTATTTGCTGAGTTGGATGGTTGACCGTCAT